ATAGTGCTTTCTAACATCAAACCTGAACCTGCTAAAGAGAAACTCACTTTGATAATTTCAACAACAGTCAAATCAAGTGGGTTCAAGAATCATATATAAGCTAATGGCTACTTAGGAAAGGCAATTACACCACTAATCATACTAATTTATGTATCAGATGTTATATAGAGTATAAAGTGAACTCTAACCTGAGAAAAGGCATCTTCAATTTTTAAAATTAAATTGAGTTTTCAAGTGAAAAGGGAAATTAGAGGTGATCTAATTCAACTATTTCACAAATGAGAAAAGTAATTATGAAAAATAGGAGCATACTAACCAAGTTAGAAAAAAGATCAGGATCAAAACCAGATTTTATTCAAAATGGAGGGCTCCCTCAAATATGCCTCATTAAAATTCCAAACTATTCAAGAATTAAAGGCCAGAACCTATTCCATTACTTCCCTTTGCAAATTTAACAAAGAGTGAAAAATAACAGTTTACATACTTGGATTGTTACAGGGCTGTATCTATGGGATCCTGGACAAGTCACTGAACATTATAATACTACTAAAATTATCAAATTAATGCAAGGATGAAATGAAAGCCCCATCACAAATGTTGAGAGCATAATAATCTCCATCCTCATTTCCTCAGATTCTCCAGTTGTCTCAAGACCTTAATCCGTCTGCAGGGCTGGGAAGGCATATGAACCATAAACCTGACTAGTTGAAGTTTTGCTATTTGTGTGTTACAGAAGGAGGAAAGCAGAATGGGAAGAAAAAGTAGGGAAACTGCTCATATGGGCAAAGAATAATATTCTCTCCCAAAGGAAAGTATTATCCATACCTCCTATCAATTAAAGAATGGGAGTCATGGGGCTGGGGTTGTAGCTCAGTGATAGAGCACTTGCCTAGCATGCACAAGGCACCAGCACCACATAAATGTAAAATAAAGATATTAAAAAAAAAAAAAGAATGAGAATCAGCTGGGGCTGTATCTCAGTGGTAGAGCACTTGCCTAGCATACCTGAGGCACTAGATTCAATTCTCAGCACCACATGTAAATAAATAAAATAAAGGTCCATCAACAACTAAAAAAGAAAGAAATGGGAATCATAAGATCTTAAGCCAGTTCATGCTAAAATTAGCTTTTTCTTGGTCTGGGCCCTGCAAAACTTTTTATCATTAGCATATTTCAAAACAACCTAAAATTACTTGTTATATTTATCTTTTCCTACTTTTGTGGAGATGTGTGCAAAGTAGGGATTCAGCATTTAATCTTCAAGAGTTGTTTGTAAGGTTGAGAGGTGTAGCTTAGTGGTGGAGCACTAGTGGGAGAATACATGATGTCCTAGGTTCAATCCTCAGCACCATTTAACAAAAGAGTTGTTTGTGAATTGTTTTAATTGTGTTAACATCTAGCTGAAAGGGTTGCTAGGACTGTGCCCTGGAAAAGTGAATGAAAGAGAACTGAAATGAAGAATCAAGGATTACCTCCCTTTGGCTTTCCCTATCTTCTTTCTCTCCATCTCTATTATTTCTAAAGACCTTTAGAAACTAGGCTCCAGGCTTATGTAGAATACTAACAGTCTACATATCTACCAGCTTATTCACAGGTTGTGTTATTGTAATAGCACTTCATAAACTGCAATGTTTTAACTCCAGGTATAAAATTATTTAAAGGAAAGTACACCAAATGGATATTTTTTAAAAGTTACTCATTTGGAAAATAAAACTTTTTTTATGTTCAAGCAAAATTGGGAAATTTATTTGTTCTAATTAGTTATACATGATAGTAGAATGCATTTTGGCAAATAAATCTTGTGCAAAACATTCACCATATAAAACATGTACAAGAAAGTAATCAAAGGAGAGAAAATTGCATTCTATGAATTCCATTTACATTTAGAATCTCAATTCTCCTGAAAATTATAATACTTAAATTTGTATATAAAATCCATAATATAATCAAATTTTGCTTTTTTTCCTGCACATGCAATATACCTTAAATTTTCAAAACTACCAAAAGAATCCTTGGGATAATACCTAGCTCTATATAACAAATTTTATATACCTTTCACCTAATTCACAGAAATTTCTATTATAAAATAGTTTAAATACAGAAGCCCAGAATATTTGAGGAATCCACAGATGAGTTCATTTTCCCCAAAATTCCTTAAGAATCATTTAGATGCTTGTTAGAAATACAGATTACCAAAAACCTACTCTAGAGATTGATTCTATTGCTTTGGGCAGGACAAAATCTTTGTTCTTGATCAAATGAGTCTGACAAGCTAATGTTGGGAAATACTGGTTGACCTAATACACTAGTTTTTAGTTTGGCACATATTAGAATTTCCTGGACAGCTTTTCAAAAATCTTAAAATCCTGGCTGAGGTCCAGATCAATGGAAGCAGCATCATTACTCCCAGGGAAGGCTGAGAAATATTAATCTATAGAACTTGAAAATTTCTGGTAGAACCATCTTATCAATTAAGAAATTAGGCCCGCTCAAGTTCATAAAGCTAAGTGGTTGCAAAGCTAGAGCTAAAACCTTCTCCTGACTTCTTGTTCACTGTTTTTATATGTAGTTATTTTGTCTTTGACAAAAGGTATAGGGGGGGAAAACCTCTTTTTGCTTCTTAACAACTGTATAAGTTAAAATGGAGCTAACTAGAAAATATTTTCTTAGTTCTAATTTAAAACAATAGGCTTAAACATCACTACTATTAATCCTTAGTTCCTAATACTAAGCTGTTCACACATCTTACAAAGAATTCTTTTAAAGTTTTCATTTTAACCTCTAAATCAGTTATTTTAAATTTTCAAATACTTTCTAATGTCTGGAATCACAATTCTTTACTTGCAAAATCATTTTGATCCCTAAATTTGGTGACATGGTTTCTTCATTATATAGAATATACAATTCTACATGTTGAAGGTACTTTGTCCACTAACAGATGAGAACAGATTTCCTTCGTTCATATAAAAGTATTAATTTTAGGCTTCATCATTGGTTTGTCCAAATATTCAGAGTGGGAAACTTTTCAAGGTTATTAGTTAACCATTCCAAGAATTTTCTGATAATGAATGTTGGGCTGGGGATGAAGTTCAGTGGTAGAGCCTAAGAAAGTGCAAGGACCTGGGTTCATTACCAGTGGGACACCCCCCCCCAAATTATAATAATGCTAAAAAATCATAAAGAATGTGTCAAGTGCAAGCTTATGCAACTATTATTTTCAGAGTGCACATTACTTTCTAAAAATTACAACACATTTGATTGACTTGTCTTCTGGGGATCTACTTTTATTATTATAGTACTCAAGTTGTTTCACACTTTTTAAGTTTCTTAAGAATGCCAAATATTTATATATTTCAGATTTTAATGATGTTTGTGATTTTTGCTTCTAGGTTTAAAAAAAAAAAAGTGTTTGCAATGTTTTATACAAGCACATCACATTACTCCACAGGTAAACTTCAGCAATTCTTACATAAACTCTATGTATACTTTTGACTAATTCTAATCACAATGGCTTAATGGTGAAGGTCTAGATTTTCAAAATAATATTCTAAATAAGAATCAGATGCAAGGGATTTTGTTCCAATAGTTTTAATGAAGGAAGCCCCCCTTTCTAAATGATTAAGATGTGAATGGGAACTTGAAATTTAACCAAACTTAAGTGTGCTAAAGTATACTTTGCAAATGCCCCCGAATGGTTAAATGGAGCCAAGGATGTGCCTCTTAAGGCAGAGCAAAACTGAAGTAGGAAATCGGAATCTCAGTTTAATGAAGTTCAAGTGATGTACAACATCTAGAAAATAGAGCTGGGGTGAATAATCAGTGGCGTTTTGAAGGAAATTGTGCTAAGGTCCGCAGTCTTAAGATTTTCCTGTTAGTGTATTGCCATTGCAGATTCTAAGGGGTAAAGCTGAAGCTAACACAGGTCCTGGAGTGGGGTTGAGGGCTCCTGTACCTAACACAATGCTGAAGGTGTGAGTTCTGCATCTAATACTGGGCCTGGGGTGGGTTGGAGGTTTCAATACCTAGCTTAGGCCTGGGGTTAGGGGTTTTTGCACCCAGCGTAGGACCTGGGGTGGGTGAGGTTCTTCTGCGTGGGAGAGGAAGACTTGGGATGGGGCGGGGGCTT